TTAATTGTATCACTACCCCGGGTAGAAGACGCGGGCGAAGGCCTAGGTCGCCCAGAACTACCGAAGCTATCTATTCTGTTGTTAATTTTTATGAACCTTCTCTTAGAATTACCGAAATTACCGAAGCACTTATTAACCAAGAAACCACTACTACACACCTCGGAACCTCACATGCTTATAATAATATCGCCACTACTCTTTCTTTCGGTACCACTGATGCATTCATTGGAACTACCGGAGCATTTGTTGGCCAAGAACTAACGCAAAATAATCCAAATACTATAATTAACACTACAATTCCTTCTTACGGCCAAGGGCAAACTTTAGATTATCAAACACCAATTATCACATCAAATAACCCTTATGAAACTACAACTACTGAAGAACTTCAATTCTTCTACCCAACCTTTGAACCCCTACATATTTATGACTATAACCTTTTGAGGGCTGCTAAAGCGACTGCCGAAGCATTTGCCGAAGCGACTGTCGATAGATTTATTGTTTATAATCGTAACCTTCTTTTGGAGACTGCCGAAGAATTTATTGCCCAAGACCCTTGTGAAAACTACTATTGAAGGACTGTTATTAATTTTCTCCTGATGATGTCACCCGGTCATATGAAAACCATATAGTTTTAAAATAGGATTTATGAAATTTATTGTTGCAAATAAAAATTTTGATCTATATATTCTGTATATCGATATTATGTAATTTTAAAAAGTATTTTCCGTAGGCTAGTTTAAGTTATGGTTAGATGGCTTAGTTATATGTAAATTAATTTCTAAGTTTAGTTTTCATTATAAATGTTTGAGGTCCTTAATTTTTTTTTTCATACTTTTGCTTATTTTAAGTTTATGGTAGTGGTCTTAACTACAGTCAACTCTCTCTAAGTGCAATGCGACGGGACCATATATAAAAATTTTGCCAAACGTGCACTTAGAGAGATATTGCATTTAGAGAGCTAAAAATCTATAGGTGTAATATTAGTTGGGACCAAGAGAAGGCGTGCATTTACATAGGACATGCACTTAGAGAACGTGCACTTAGAGGGAGTTGACTGTATTTGTAAAATTAGCGTCGGAGTATAGTTTTCATTATAAACGTATGAGTTTTAATTTTCTTTCATGCTTTCGCTTATTTTAGTAACACGATCGAATTGTTAAAGTTGAACACTCACGAACACTATTCTAAAATCATGTCTGTCAAATTGCTCATAATTAATAAAAATTTATTTATAATCTTTGAAATTTAAATAACCAGAGTTAATTACAAAAAAGCCTAATATTGAATTTCTTGATTACAAAATAAAAAAAGTGAGTTGTTTCTGAACTTTCATTAAAAGAATTAACTATTTTCTTGAAACTAAAATGGAAGAAGTATAAGATATGGTCACAAACCTGATCGTGAATTTATACTAACCATAAGAGAAGAAATTAGACAAAAATTCCGAAAATAGAAAAGAAAAATCAAACTTTCTTGAAGAGATATGGTATGATTGTTATTTGTATAATGGTATTGGTGGTCATGAAGATAAAGAGAAAGCATTGAAGCTATATAAAGAAATAACTAATGCGGTATTACTAGGTAAAAAATAATGTGATATGAATACGATCCTGACTGTAAAAAATAAAGTGCCATCCAAAAGACGCTTTTGG